AATTATAAATGAAATCGCTGCGTTTAATCGCGTTACGACTTTGTTGTCGCGCAATACGCAACGCGCGACAGAAAAAAACAAAAATAAATTATGACAATACAAATTGTGAAAATTACAAAATTTTTGATAATTGCATTTTTATAACATTCAGGTATTGACATGGATGTATTTTTTAAGTATTATTATGTAAAGATTTTATATTATGAAGAAAACCAATTTCAGAATAGAAAACATGTCGTAAATTGCCGAATTTTTGATGGTCCACCCATTATTTTTTCGATCGCTTCATTTCATGCACAGAAAACATTTATAACTAATCTATCAGCAAATAATTTTGATGGATTCTATAATATTTTGAACGATGTCAATTTTTGAAAATAGGTGATCGAGTTAAGCCTAACACACGACTATATCAGANACGAATAAAATTTCTTCTAAATCTTTACCCCTCCACAAATGACAAATTTTTCACGTTCTTCTTACTTTATTCATCAAAAGTTAATAGTATCAAAGCCAATTGTGTACAAATTACCATGCCAAATTTTGTTTTCTAACCCATGTTTAGCATTTCAATTTTTCAGACTAATTAATAATATAAATGCATTTAAAATAATATATTTTACCAGATTATGTCACACACAATTGTAATCATTCCTGAAATAATTTAGTGTTTCTAGGACCTATGTATTTTTCAGCAAAAAAAATATGCAACTCCTTGCTCTATTTTTGTAATAAAGATATTTGATTCATATAATAATCCAAAATATTGAAATTCATACAGTAACACCATGCTGTGTTTGACAGGTTGCATCTTGTTAGCTTCAAACCAAAACAGTTCAGCAGTTTTAATGTACTTTCGATTGTGGATAGCTTTTTTATCCCAATAGTGCTGCCAACAGCAAACTATTTCATAGTATATTTTGTACTGAAATCAACTAAAAGACATATTACTATTTTTTTCTGCAAGAAATTATTACAATGTTTTAAAACTTTTTGTGGTTTTTGGTTTGACATATTTTAGATAAAATCATTCTCAATTACCCTTTGCATAAACAGAGAAAAGTTCTGCTTGCGTTTTAAGTTACACGCAAATGCGAACAGTATTTTCCTAGATACAGGTAAAAATGTTTTTGTTTATTTTTGTAAATAATAAGTTAATAATTATTATATTAACAGTTCACATTTTGTGATGAACATCTTGACTTTTCTGAAATTCTTAATTTTTGCGATAAAGTCATGTAGTTTCATTTGTCGCTTTTTATTTCTTTAGTTAAGGAAATGTCAGTAACAAGAGATTGCATCCCAAATGCCTCGTGTTGTTTTTGCACTCTTTTCAAATTCTGGATCATGCACTACAATTTGATTAACAAGTTCACTTATTGTTACCAAACGTTTACTAAGAAAATTTGTAGAGAAATTCTTCAAGCGCATTTTTAGAATCGTCAGTTTTACCTAAATTCCTTGCTGTGCCAGTTCTTAACGGTTATTGTAGATAAGGCTATCACTTGAAACCTTTAATAACTCTTTGTTATTCTGCTTGTCTACATCTTCTAGTCCTGCTGTATCGATTAGGATGATAATTTTATCAACCTAACGGTACAGCGATAGACTACTCTCGTTGAAAATTCTTGAATAACTTCATCCATAACTTTTTCCACACTTCGTTCATGCATTTATTAGTTATTTTTTCTCAAGCGAAGTCGATATCGCCAACGTCAGAAGTTTCCTAACTATTTTGATTATCGGTACCCTTGCTAAATCCACGTTATTTCAAGGCTCCCTATGGCAAATTCTAAGAAGTAAAATTCGCGAAATAGCCAATATTTTTTAAATTAAAGAGCATAATCAGTACAGATACCAATGCATTTGAACCAGGTCGGCTAGAAGTCACATCTTATCGCGTTGAATTAAAAGTAGACGTAAAATTATGAACATTTTATAATATTTTTTACGGAACCCCTGTGAGGCAGCCGCGGTGCACATTTTGGAAATCACTAGCCTATGACATTCATGACGTTATATTTTTTCGAAAATTGCACCAAACAAACATAAATTTAAGGAAAGTACAGCGCTACAATGAATTGCCACCTTTTGATAATTGGTTCGTGTTCGGAAATAATCGTTTTATATACGAATTAATGAAATTCAGCGATAGTTTGAATCAGTGTAATTTGAGAGCTTATTTTAGACTTCGAGTAGACGGCGTTATATCGAATCAGCAAATCAAGAAAACGTTAAATTAGGTCTTATTGTAGTTACAAGTGTTGTTTAAACTTTAGATGTAATTCTTTCTTAGGAAAATTTTTAGATCTATTTAGAGTGAATAATATCATAATTGTGTGATAAAAATATTTTATTTTATGAGAGTGCAAAATTAAATAGATTTTTTAATAATGGGGGTTTAAAAATTTTACAGTAAATTTATTATCATGCTTAAATCATAATTTAAAACGTTGTAATTAAACATTCAACACAATTTTTTTATATTCTGCCATACACGATTTACAGTTTTTGATATTGGCATTTCATACACACAACACCTTTAATGTCTTTACTGAAACAGTTAATCGGAGTAAGAACATTGGATCATACAAACATTAAATTCAAAGTATGTGCCAGCCACTGTTTGCTAGTAGTCATTGAACATTTCTAGCGTTTCTGAAGTAACCATTAAATTGAATCGAGCCATGTTAGCGTTGATACCTAAACGCAGGAGTAATAAATAACAAAAACACAGTAAATTAATCATTTTGTTATTTAGATTTAATGTTATCGAGTTAGTGTTGTTCGTTTATATTTATTTATAACTTGTAACATGCACAAAATAAGAAAGAAAATAATATTAGTCACACGTATTCACAATTTATAATTAGAAAGATCAGCACACGTACATGTCTATCGTTGGAGAATTCTCGCACATCTGAGGGTCTGACTCTGCCTATCCTTCTTTTTAAGCGCTCGTCTTTGCTCTTCCCTTTCTCTTTTCTCTATCGCTCTAATCCACGTATGCCTGTGCATACATCATAATAAGCGCTTACGATACTTTCGATTCGTCACTTTTCCGTCGTAGAGTTCACATTTTACAATTACGTGACAGCCTGGTGATAACAGAGAAAAGAGACAGATAGGACATCGATATAAGTCACAGTTATGATTTCACTGATTCGAGACAGCTTGATAGCCCCAACGGCCCCAGGCTTTCGCCCGTGCACGCTAAGTCACTTTCATTACAAGCATTTAGCTTTCCGAAGTCTATGACAACAATTGTTTGGCATTGACGGCCGCGAATTTCGTGCCAATAAGCTGCCTCGACTTGTTCGATTATGTTATCAACTCA